CATAAATTTCTCAAGTTACCTCTTCTGTACCTTCATGTAAGTTGGACGCATCAGCGTTATCGTCTTTTTGATCTAGCTGAACTAGAAAAAGAACCAATGAGAAAAAAAGCACAGATATGACTGAGTCTTTCGACTTCAGGATTTTACATTGTAGTTGTTACCTATGCATCCCAGTACCACGAACCTCGTGCTTTCAAGAAAGAATCAATATCACCAAAGGCAGGCAGGCTTATTAACCAACAGATTGCTTGAAAATGAAACGCCACTTCAAATCTATCTGTTGTTTTGTACTTATTCACATTTCGAATCCTTAACTCACATCCATGTACAATTTTTACGTACACCTGAGAGCTTGTACGTTTCCTAAGGATCTTGTTACATTAATTCTCCTTACAATATCTATTTATTTTTCAATTTCGCTCCACTGTTATTTTGTGTGGTGATCTGACGGATCATTAAAATACAGGCCTAATTATACTTGGATTCTCGTTTTCATAATGGGAGCAAGATAACGTGGTCACTAGAATTAACACCTGAAGATTCGAAACACTTTAGGAATCCAGCGTGTCAAACATAGAGTTTCAATACTGTTGTTTGCAGATTGTCAAGATCTGGAGAACAATGAGCAGTGAGGCTGATCAACTTGATGTCCAAGCTGATTTTGATAAACTAGTTAGGGGATCATGAAGTTAGGGATTGGGGATCTATTCTAGAATCAGTTCGCTTACAGACATTGAACAGAGCAATGGTCACCAGCATACTGTCAGTGATGCACCTATTTCATGCTTGCAGGAACAGGAAAACTGAACATAATGGTGAGCGATGAGTAGAAAACAACTGTAAGTTGTAGTACAACAGATGAGAAGGGTTTCTTAGTGTTATAATTTCTTCAAGCATTCAGATACCTTGATGGAGATGTGCTGCTATTTTCATACATCACATATTTGGGATCCCACCATATCTCATTTAGGATGCCAACATCTGCGAACGTACTAAGTGACGGGTTTTTCCAAACTCCTCTATGTGATGGTTAGAAGTATTTGAATTATTATGTTAAATGGGAATTCCAGAAATAACACAATTTAAACCAAACACAACGAGGTGAGCACAAAAGTACGTGATGCAGTTGGAATTTGGAATCAGGTGGACATCAATACAAGGAATTCATTAATTCATACAGACACAACACCCCCCATCGAGCTTGATAACCGAGGCCATCTCATCGGTAAATGCTGCGGAAAAGTGTTTTGGCAAGCGTGATCGGGACACATCGAACAGTACTCGCTCTGTCGACACGCAAATTGGTGTGAAGCAAACTCAGGTGAGTTCGAAAACAGGTGACTCACACCGACCAAAAGAGGGAAAAACAGTCTTCAAAGAGGTCTGTCTTAACCGAAAACTCAAGAAAAGAGGAATCTTCTGTCCCCCGTCTTTTAAATGGTATCCAGCAGGAAACGCATAGTAGCCGCAATCGCAAGGCTCGATCGGTTTCTAACGGGAAACATAACCTGACCTCCCAAATCGTCGACAACCCTCCGCAACCCCACAGTATGTTTGGCGTAACTGTGGTTGCTTCTCATAGCAGCGTTGACGAATGGGTACAGGTGTAAGGAAGAAACAACATAACAATATAAAAAGGGAATCCCGCCCCCATAAAAGTAGTCGAGAAATCGAAGGCTGATCACAGTGACGGATCAGTTATTTTTCGTAGAATCAAGGAGAGTGAAAGCTCTGAACCAAAAATTCGTTTTGAGCATGACATTGTGCTGGTGAAACAGCTACTTCATCAACTCATGCCTCAAAATATCCCCGGAGTCACCTTGCTGAAGGTGTACAAACTAGATAGTCTGGCGAACTTTAAGCCTAATCAATCCAGACTGCTCAAAGTAGTATTCAAATCGTCAAATGAGCGCGACTTAATTTTACAGAATAGACATAAATCAAGAGGTTCAGGGGTTTTAATCCGTAAGGACTTGCCGTTGGCAGACCGCGTAAAAAAAACAGGAAGCCGGAAAAGAGCTGCAACTTATGTTAGACACTGACGAAAAGGACATAAAAATTGTAAATTTTCGGGTTGTAAGGCTTCGACAGAGAATGATTCCGAAGGCACTGCTGCTGATTCGTTTGGTCTATCGCAGTCCAAGCTGTGAGATAACTGAGGTCCTACTAAGCAGTCTCAATACTTGGTCACAAAGCGGTCGATGTCTAATCCTAGGGGACTTTATTGCACTTATGGTAGACTGAATCGTCAGATAATTCCTTCGAGCAGGAACTAGTTGATGCGGTTATCACATGTGCCTTAGTACATCGTGTGAAAGAAGCGCCTAGGTACGACCCGGACACTGAATCATCCTTACTAGATCTGACACTCACTCACTATGTGGATGACGTTGCGAACCTCCATTACATGCCACTCCTAGGTTAAAAGTGACCACGCAGTTTTAACTTTCGACTTCCGTATAACTGTCAATCACGAGCACGCGCAAGCTCAATCCAAACCTAACGTCTCGAAAGCAAACATACCAGATATCATGCACTAAGCATCGTCAGTAGATTGGACAGTAGACCCAGGATCCTCAATTGAAACGGCTTGGGACGCACTTCGACATTTATTCTTAAATGTTACCGCAACCCACATCCCTTGGACTATACCAAGGGGGTCGAGAAACTCCCCACCATGGTTCAGTAGGGAGGTCCGCATCCTTCTCCATAAGAGACGAAAAATGTGGGCTACTAGAGACTGATGAGACAAAATCTCAGTATTGAAAAGCTCGGAATACCTGTACCTCGACCCTCCGTAAGTCTAGAAAGTTGTACGAAGAAAAGATTGTTAAGGAATCCATAGAATGTCCTAAACGCTTGTATTCCTATATAAACCAAAGGACAAAAAGAAGAGGAAACATTCCTGCATTATGGGGAGCCAGTACTGCCGCATCATTAGTGGAGGACGATTTCGGTAAGGCTCAAGTGTTCTCGAACTACTTTAGCATTGTGTACACCATAAATGCACCATTTCCGTCAGCGCATAAAAATCCCACCACACATACACTGGATAGCGTGACCATTAAAGAACTCGATGTCTTTGGTCTGTTAAATAAGCCTGACATAGGTAAATCTACGTGGCCCGATGAATTGCATCCCAGGCTACTGAATGAATTATCTAACATCGTTGCGAAACCTTTAAGTATATGCTTTAATCTATCCGTAACGCAGGATCGTTTACCAAAAGACTGGAAGAATGCCATAGTAAGTTCTGTTTTCAAAACAGGTACGAAACATAAACCTGAGAATTAACGACCCGTTAGCCTAACTAGTGTGGTCGATAAAATCTTAGAAAAGATTATTCGGAAGGAGCTGTTTAAGTACCTCGCTGAAAACCGGATCCTTTCGGAGAAGCAGCACGGTTTCAGAATAGGTTATTCTTCCCTCACTAACTTATTAGTCGCTCGTGAAAGCTGATGCTCTATTAAGGTCCAAACGTTACCTGTAAACGTAACCCACATTGATTTCAGCAAAGCTTTCGACAAAGTCCCGCACAACCGGCTGTTATGTAAGCTAAGAAATATCGGGGATGGAGGCAATCTATTGATGTAGATAAAAGACTTCCTAGTTGGACGCCAACAAAGAGTACGGGTGAACTCAAGGTTGTCCAGCTGGGAAACTGTCGTTAGTGGAGTGCCCCAGGGTACAGTTTCGAGGCTAATGCTATTCCTCATGTATGTAAATAACCTCCTTCGTCTCCTATCATCGGTCTTGCTATATGCCGACGATGTCAAGATATGGAGAACGATACGATGTAAGGGTGATAGCTTAGAACTCCAAAATGACCTGAAGAAATTATCTGAATGGTCTCAAACCTGGCAGTTGCCGATAAATACTTCCAAGTGTGTTGTGATGCATATCGGTCATCAAGGTACAGTTACATACACGATGAATAACACTGAGCTACCTGTCGTCCAGATACATAATGACTTAGGAGTCATCGTTAGCCAAGACTTGAAGATTACTGCAAACTGCCGTGCAATAGCCGCCGAAGGTTTTAGAACGTTATGGTCAATACGTAGGGCTTTTAGTCATGTCGACGCAAAAACGTTCTTGACTTTGTACACAGTGTTCGTACGTCCTAAACTTGAGTACTGCATACAAGCGGCTAGCCTTCGCTGAAAAAAAGACAGTGAGCTTCTAGAAAAGGTTCGGATAATAGTAACTAAGCTGGTTCCCGGAATAGTGAGGCTTTCGTACGATGCTCGACTGACCAAGCCAAACCTTTTCCCGTTGTCATATCGTAGAACTAGAGGTGACTTGGTTACAGTTTTCCAATCGCTTAGTGATAAATCTGAACCTGATATGCCCTCATTTTTCTTGTCTTCCAAAAGGGAGAATTTACGAGAACACTCCCAAAAGTTCACAAGCCCGGAACAAATTACTTATCAGCTGATTATCGACTTTCCCATCGAATCATCAACGAGTGGACTTCATTAGCTCAGCACGTGATTGAGGCTCCATCCGTCGACTCTTTCAAAGGAAAGTTGGATCAACTAAAAGACCACCATTGCCAGCACTAAAACAGGCCATCAAGCCCCCTGTTCTTTCCGAAGTGAAACTGAATGGGCGACTACGACATTTAAATCATTACCTCTCGTCGTAGAACTTGAGGTGATCGTATATTGGAACTCCGTATCTTAAATAATGACTTAGATGTTGAAATGTCCGTTTGTTCTCTTCTTCGGAACCACTTATCTCCGAGGCCACTGAAGGAAAGCGCATAGACCGGAATAAAATAAGCTCAGATTAAGATCCAGTTTCTCGTATCGATGGGTCAGTGCCTAGAACAACCTACTCAAATAAGTAGTATCATCCTTACTAGTAAAAAATTTTGTGGATAATCTGAAGCACTACAGGAAAACAAGTGCCAAAGATGAGCACAGTTCATCCGACCTTCAATCTTTGTAATTGAAGACAGGTATTGAACATTGTACGCACTGCGCACTTGTTTGAGACCTAGGCGTATGTATTGTTTGTTTACAACCATTTGTTATAATAAGGTGTTTGTATACATTATATTGCTCTAATACATTGCGTTACTCAAGAAGGAGGACATTATTTCACTTACTGAAGTCTCAAAAACTTTTCTTAAAATCGAACTGTCACGTATAGTTCGAAAATTCATCGATGGTTGGACTGTAAATTTCGGTTTCCTCGAAAATGCCAATTATTCTGAAAATTCTCTAAAGTTCGCTCAACATTTCTATAGGACTGAGACCTTTCAGAATGCCGAGTCAAAAAATCCACAGGATGGGCAGTTTAAGCTAACTTAAACTGCCAATTAGCTTAAAGCTACCATTTGAGAAAATTGGTAGTCTCAGTGTAATTATAATAAAGCTCTTCGCTTTTTAACGGTGAGACTTCGATTTCTGGAAAATAGGTGTCTGACATTTTTTTCGAACTAAATTCTTACTATGGGTATGATTTTTTCACGAAAACTATGCTAATATATTGTATAGTGTCGTAATTCAGTATTCATTACAAATTCTATGTTCACTGTTCGTTGCTAAAATATAAAGCTTTCGGTTTACTTGGTTTTGTCAATTATTTTGTTTCTGGGCTTTGGTTCGGTTCGAAAATAAGTTATAGACTTATCTGTACAGTTAGCAGTACTACATCCCCTTGAGACCTTGTGTTTGCTGCTTTTAGTCTTGTCGTTCTTCAGCCGACCTGTATGGCATGGTAGGACCTTGAGGAATGATTGTTCCAGTCTGTGGAGCTCGATTAGCTGATCACGATAGGCTAGCTTGACCACCACATCAAGGTAGCAGTAATTGTCGGGTTGTTTATATACATGAATTTTATCTGTGCTCAGTCTGTTGTGGACTACATTGATCGCTTTCCCCTTCTAAATTTGACAGGTCTCTGGAGGTTCTCATAACCTCCATACTTCAAGGAGCATGTAATTGTTGTTTTGTGGTCTCAATTTCAAAAATTAACAAACTATCTAAACATACAACCCTAATGCTATATTTAACATCCGTATACTTATAATAACTTATAATGTTGTTAGATTCTGTCCATTATTTATTCACTGGTTTTATTTTTATTTATTAATGAAATTATCCGTATTAAATTGTACAAACAAACATGCCCTTAACGAGTATAACTAGACCAACCATTGATTTATGTCCCTTTGACTCCACGAGTTTAAGAAATCGAGTAGTATCATTAGCGTTTAGCATATTAGTTGGCTCAGTTTAGTGGGTAGTCCTGTATATCATAACTTTATTTTGTCTGTATAGTTCAGTTCGGTTTTTATTTCATTCTGTGGTGTTATTTGATTACTTATTAGAAGTGGTAGAATTCGATTAAAACGAATATGACTCCAAACCACCAAATAAACACACGTGATTGATGAAATGCGGCTGGCAACGTAATCTTGAGTGTGCGTTTCGTTCTATTTGGGACTTAGTCGGAGATATCTGCACCACAGAGTTGGTGTTCACTCCGGGGTTTCAGGCTTTATTTTCCTTCCATACTAATCTCATCATACCTGCTACGGTTTGGGCACCCGGGCAGTATCACAGCCCTCACACATATCGAATGAGATTTATGTGGCGCATATGTATTTGGTGCCTCCTTGTACCAATATCTATGTGTTAAAATAAATAAATAAATATAATCGCATCATATGATATTCAGTAGCTTAATTTGAAAGTTATTTTCCAGACTTTTCTCTGTTGTACATAACGCAGTTTAAATATGACTTTCCATTTTGTAATTATCAGGTACCATGAATGCAATTAACCCTAACAACCCTAATAACCTAACCTCTGGCTTTGGTCATTCAAATGATATGAATTTTGTGAAAAGTAATGAGAACCGTTTAGGTGATTCCAATAGTTTATCGTCTGTTGAATTAGCTCAATTACCACTGAACCCAATGTATACAAACGGCTCAACTGCAGAAACCGATGTTTTGAAAGCGAATTATGGGATTCCTGCTGATGAGTGTTGGTTGTTCAAACCACCGAAGCAGCATCAAACTCAAGGTTCTGTTGAACCCATAAGAACATGGTTACGTGCTATATTTGATTCGCCAGATTCCTGCTTTTTCCATTCGCGTCGAAATCTCCTCTCCCGCCTCGAAGCGATCATTTTGGCTGGGGGACAAACTGAAGCATATCAGTTTGGAGGCAGTGTCCCATCTCTGAATCTTATCACTTCAGGATATCCACCGCGTCCGAATACATGTCGTACAGAACATTCTGTTTATGGATCTGTCGTATCCAATCGTCTGGTAACCGCTAGTTCATCAGACAGTATTTCGTTTCCTAGTCAACAGACAGTAACTAATCCTACAATGAACAGTGAGCATGTTAACATGAACACTTTCACACGTTCTCACAAACCAAGAATAAGTTTACCACCTCAGTGCAGTGCAAGTAAATCAGTAAAAAATGGTTCTCATAATCCTAATTCATACTTGTCTAACTCTACTGGAACGAACTTTACTTTCAAACCGCCTAACAAGACTGGGTCATGTGATGAGCTAGAAACTACGTCTGCAAACACCAATGTACAGGAAATTGCTAGAAGACAAGAAGATACATTAAAAGCAGAGGTTGCAGCTCTAGCAGCGGCAGCAGCTGCTGCCGGCAAACATGGTAGTCAGCATTCTCTTGCTTCTTTGTGTAGGAATAGCCCACATGGGAGCTACACAAACATCGCTAGTGCTCCAGAAAGCCCTCACTCAAGCACAACAAAGCTAAACCAACCTCAGCAAAATCACGACCATTTCTATGTAAAACAGTCTCTGTCGTTTTCTCAAGAGTTTGAAGGGCAAATTACAAACCAGCAACCAACACAAGATACTCATCTTGTTAATCATTCGTCTCATAGTCCTACTAGAAAAGACGTACTGTCCAACATTCCTGCTCACGCTTCTAATGTAGCGAACATAAAACAAAACCCTTACAAAATTTTGCCTCAAAAGCCTTTGCTCACAAATATTGTTCCAGAAATGGGGGACGAATCTAGACAATCTCAGAAAATTTCGGTTTCAACACATCCATCATTATATCCTCTTGCAGTGAATGCCACCGGAAACGTGTACATGTCTTCGGCAGAACCTCGCAGTCATTTTGGTTTTCGGCCACTACAACAAATCTCTACTGGTCCATTCAATAAAACTGTTAACTTAGGATTAAGACGTACATCTGATGATCAACCTTTATCCTCCGGAAACCCAAACCAATAATTTTTCAGTCCGCTTTAGTCGAGTTCTAGTCTTTCTAGTTTGTTGTTACTTCGACATCAATTCTTCTTCTCAGAATCAAATGGCTAATATAACATTATGTTCATTATTAGTTAATCATTATAATACTTATCCCTTATTTTTCAAATGCTAATCGTCACTGGCTTTTTTGCAAAGACTTTGCATTGTTCAGAAAAGGCTCTCCATTCGGCTTTTAGCTTTTTATTTACATTTTGTCAGCTTGCATTTCTCAGCCCTAGTGATTATGTTTCTGAAAAATTAATAGCATTTAATCATCTGATTATCTATATCCATATATAATCCGCTCACTTATAACAAGGTGCACTTCAAAAGCATAATGCATTAATTATGACCATTTTTGAATTTATTTCACAAAGTGTAATTTGACAATGTTTTTATTTTGGCATTTTGGTAATCTGGTAAACATTTATGATTTGAACTAATATTTATTTTTTTAATTTCTCTATACAAAAAGCTTTACTTGCATAACTTTAATTTGTACAGTTCAATTTTCCTTCAATTTCAGTTGTAACTTATTTACTTGTAATTTATCTTGTAGTGGGTTTTTACCAATGATGGATCCCGATAAACCAGGTAAGCTTTATTCGAAAAATTTCGTAAGTTTACTTATACCGTTGCATTCTCACTGACTTACACCAATGTATTTATAGATTGGTGGTTTCCGATACACATTTGTACCAAGTCCTGTGTTGATGATAACTGAATGAGTTTATTGATTTTTTAAGTATTACTAATTTAAAAATAATTTCCATTCATTTGTCACGTTTCGAGCGTAATAAACTTACTTTTTTAATATGATTGATTAGAAGCTAAACAACACTTGTTTTTTAATTTCACATATCATCAAGTTCTATTCATACACTGGGTATTTCAACTCTAATTATCTGGAACCAGGATTTCTTCATCACTAAATACGATGGTCGGGGTGCTAATCTCTCAAGAATTTTGTTATGTCCTTCACTCGTCTTTTTAATCAATCGCTATCCAAGTCGTTACTTTATTTTAATATTTTCCGTCTTGTTGAATTTTTTTCATGTTGATATAAAGTTTCAAATTTGGTGTGAACAAATTTGTAGCACTTCTAGCGATGTTAACGGGTTTAATTTTAGATGACTTGACTATAGATATTTGTATGTTCAACTTCGTACTCTCACTACAGAAATATAGACATGTAAATCTTAGTACTTCTAAAGGTTGTAGTATATAGCAACATAACAGTATGGCTGTACTTTGACTAAATTTGTTACTTGAACACTTCATATTCTCCAGTTTAATATGTAAAAGTTTTACCTACCCGATTGTTGATATTCTTGCTTGAACGTATATCTAAGAGGCGGGTCTTGAATAAAACAAAACGCACTTTGGATTCTACTTCTAAACACATCCCATCTATTCTATAGGAACTTCTTATTCCTGTTTTATTCATATAGTTTGTTCCGTAGTGCTACTTATGCTTTTCTTTTCAGAATTCAAAGATAAGCAAACTGCTGTTGAGGATACATATCGACAAATGCGAAAACTATGTGAGAATTACAAATTGTTCGCGAAACCGGATGACTTGGATGAACTATATTCGACTAGCCTAAATTTAAGTTATATCCAAGATGATTATGAAACTATAAAACATGAACTATCAGTCATTAAAGCTAATCGTCAAATTGCTCGAGACGCACTTTTAGCTGCCGGATTTCAATGTCCCGATGATCCACCAACATAGTTTGTTAGTTTTTGAGTCTCGATTTCTTTTTTAATTTTAGAATATTTTTGTGTTTTAATTTCTGTTGCTTTATATGATATGTAGCTAGAAGATTGGTTTTTGTTAGGAACTATAAAGATTAATTCGTTTTGACTCAGTATATATATATATATTTATATATATATATCGGATTTTTCATAAAACTATTATCCAAGTTTTTTGTATGGTGACTGATATTACCCACTGAGTTATCTAAATTGGATTAGGTTCACAACTGTGACTTAATGGTTGATAAAGTATTTGTGTACATGTCCCCTTATTCTGTTGACCATAATGTTCCAAATATTCTTAAATCATAAACCAGCATCTATAATTATTAGCCAAGCAAAGTTTTCTATTCACTATCCACTTGAAAAATAATAAACTAATTAATTTGCTAAACGGTGTGGAAGTCCAAGTCTACCGCTTGACTAAAGTTACTTTCACCTAGGATTAACCATTAATAAATATTTCTTGTCGGAATTATTTATTAAATGAGAATTCATTTTCCAAGCTTTACAATCTCAAATATATATACGTATTTTTCAAGGTAATAGTAATCACAATAATACTGATAATGAAATTCTGTTAAACATAGTAACAGTCAGATAGAATAAACAGAGGTATTAAAACAATTTTTTAATAAGGGAAAGTAGTAATAAATTCACTTGGCATTGTTTACCTGAATCTTCCCATTGATGATTAAAATTATCGTTGGGAAAGGATTGCTGAGCATGATGAGATAAAATGCTAAAATTGAGATGAAATGTAATCAGGTGAATCGTAGAAATAGAAATGAACCAGTTGGGGTGTAGAAGGTCTATGAAGATGGAACGGGGAACAGAAGGCTATAAAGGAAGAAAAGTATGAAGAAGGATGAAAATCATGAGACATTAAGACCATGTTAGAAGAAGAGGTTGTACAAATTTCTTCCGGACACACAATTATGGCTTCCCTAGATGTATAGCTGCTGCTTAGGCAATGTTCAGAAAATGCTATATAACTGCCTCGGGAACCTTCTACTTACCTTGTAAATGACTTTGGACGCAGAGTTCGCTTTGATTGAGTGACCTGTGTTTACAAGGTTTTTCGGTTTTTGAGCCGTTTCCTCCTCTTTCTAGTCAAGACGAGTAATGTTCTTGAATTCCTTTAAACAAAGTGAGAAAACGCATTTGTATACACTCTTCATGATACATAAAAGAAGCGAATGTAAATGACAAGATTGTCCTCTCTCCTTATGTTCAGTCACAATTCCCTAATTCTCATAAATAACGGATTTTATTAACTGTGCAAATATTTGGTATTTCTTTCAAGGATTCATATGAACAGCTTAGAACTTTATCAAATAGGATTCGAAACTGTAATGTTTACTAGATTTCCTCCCGTTTAATTTCTTCCATATATGGTAAATAAATGTATATAACATTTACTTTGAAGAAAACAAACTGTATTTTAGTTGTGTTTTAAAATTCTGGTGTTAATCTAAACGAATAGCTGTTTTCTTTTCATATTTTCGTGTTTATACACATCAATGATCCTAAACATAATCTGTGAGACATTTTAATGATCCCCTTACTGATGTGTTTTTTTCACTCACTATAAGATATAAGTCAGCTTTCTAAACTATATGTCTATCACAGAATTTCACTTATTTTTTCTTTTTCATTTCAGCTCTTAATCATCTATCTACACCGTGAGTACCAGAACTCAAACTTTGGCATCACCATAAAGTGTGTAATTCTTTTTTGTTTTACTGAAAGTTGATTTCTAGTTTACTCTATTATATATTTACATTACTTCAACCTGATCATAGTTTTATTTGTTAACTAATTCATTGTTAGGAAAAATTGTAATTTACAGTTTATTTGGTTTTTTGAATTATTTATTTATCCCTCTTTTTTGTAGCGTTTAATCTGTTTCAATTTAATATTTCTAACACTCTAAATAGTATGAATATGTTCACTTGAAGTTGCCTAAAATAGCTTTTCTCGCATTCTCATAGAAACACGTGTATTTATTGGCTTTTGTTCATGAATTACTATTATTATTACTACCTCTTCATATGTGTTTCCATGGTCATAAATTACTTCAATGAGAAATTGTTTTTTTTTGTGGTTCTTTGTGTTTACTGCTGTTCGATAATTTTTGGTGGATCATATTTTTCATCTGTTATGGGATAGCAGAATAATGGCCAGCAAGACTACTAGAATATGCAAATAACTAAGTCGTAAACTATAGGTAATTCAGTAAGGTTATGAGTTAAGACACAAATTAAACTCATTTTTGGGGATATCCTTATTTTGGAATATAACAAATATAGTTGATAAAGTTTACCTGTAATTAACTAGTAAGAGAATAAATGTAAAGTTGAAACTCCTATCTTGTTTCAAGATTTATCATAGATATTAGCTTTTAACTGAGCATGAACTACTGCACACATTCCTATAATAATGAGATGCAGTTTAGGTAACGGGTCCAATCCTTGTAGATTCATTTTGACCTAGATGAAATGTAGTATTTTAAAAGGAAATTATCACATCAGCTCATGTCTTATGATTTTTTTCTCAAGAAATAAAAATGTCAGTGGTTTTCTGTTAAAGGTAATTAATATTTTTTTCAACAATGTCGGAGAATGTTATATTTTGTATGACTTTCAGCCTCATGTCTGATAAAAAGCTTAGTAGAATTTAAAATAAATACGAAAAATCTATATGTTGATAACTGATGATTTTAATTCCAATATGTACATGATTTATTTAGACTCTTAGCTAGATGGCTTAAAACCATCCAAGTGTAGCTCAGAAGAAACGGATATTGCTAAAATCCAAAGTTAGTTACAGTTTCTAATAAACCGAGTTTGTAGTTAAAATCGTACGTGAGATTATAACAATGTTTCAACGTAATGTTTAGTCGATCAACATAGAGTTCTAAAAGTATGCATAGAATACTTCAATTCTACTATATATATTCAAGCGTCATACTTCTGCTGCAAATACCGTGGCGTGTTGTATACGTGAAGTGTTAACTTTATGATCACAGCACTCTTCTTTTAATCAATGAGATGTATGTTCGAATCCCGTTTCACTTTCATCGGTTTAGATTATTAGGTAATATCACTAACGCGTATGTTAACAGTTTGGTTCAAAGTCAGGTAAATTACAGAAGCATTATTAAAAGTTGTTTTCACCTGGTATAGTGCGAAAGATAGAAAGCCTACATGGCTCAGAATCGATCATAATGGCTTAGGTGTGTATACTCTTTTTCTCCTCTTAAATCGTGAGATTAGAATTGCTCTATACCTTTATTCATGTGAAATAGTTCCTTCTTTCTGTATTATATCCTTATGCACAATCTTTCTTTTATATATTGCTACCATTGAAGTAACTACTATGAATTTGGTGTTCATCTTGTGCTAATGAGGTATGGCAACTTTGACCGATGCATATATGTGCTTGGTCCTACGTTGCAGCTGACTGTCTCACGCTTCGTTTCTCTTTAAAGACATACACATAATCTCTGATAGGCTAACTCTATGATTTCTATGGTGTATTCTGAGTACAGTGTTTTTTAACCCCTATCAAAGCTCTAGTAATTTTTAACATCAGTCGTAGAATGGTACTCTTGATTCACCATCAGAAACTTAATCATGAGCCCCTTTAGTCACGAATTAAGCATCAGGTTAAAAAATAAACTTCATCTAGCACTTTTTATCCATAAGGATGTTTCGGAATCAGATGCCTCATCAACTACTCAACGGTATGTTATGTCGTCTATATGATTGTTGTGATACTCGTTTCCAAGTTAAAATGTATATCCCTAAAAGCATCTATACTGTCAATAAAGTGCATAGAGCTTAAAAATCCTATTTTATTTATTCTCTGCGAAATATATATTTTGAAATATTCATATCACCCGTTGATTCTATTGGGAATCATTATTCAAAATAGAATTCTCACTATTAACTCTATATAATCATTAATTTGATTAAAATTTTTCACTAAAATCATAACAATAGAAATTTCGTCTGATATTCGAATTAGTTTGATGACAGGACGTTTAATAACATTCAAATGTCATTTGATGCTGATTAAGTGAATCATACCGTTTTGGATGTTTTGGCTAATTCTGTTGGTTTTGGTTTATTATCTAGTTTCATGACTTCAAGTGAGGTAATAAATTGATTGACTTTCATGAGGATCTGTTATTCGGCCAAGTCATTATTCTCTTTGAATGTACTGATATTTTGTCTGTCATTTTAACATTCCAAAATGAAATTATAGCAGTGGTACCAGAAGCAGAAACTGAATATATACACGGAACACAATTAAACGATGATCACCGGACATCAGTAAGCTGACTGAAGTGCATTTATTATCAAGATGAAGCGGTGAGTGACGTGATATCTTTAATTATCTTAGTGAAATAAATCTAAATGACCCTACCAACAGGTCAAAATCCTAAGAGAAACTTCTGATACAAAGTCCTGCAGTAAATACATCTTATTTTCGCTTTTGACTAAATAAATCTTAAGATGGAGTAAAATCTGTCTAAACTTTCATAAAATTAGTTGGTATCAGTATCCTAATAAACATGTATTGTCACTGCAACTATCCTTACTTGTACATCTGTGGAGCGCAAACATGTTACATTGATTATTTCAGAAGTTAAATGAAAATTAATTGTTTAACAAATAATCAGGCTTTTCGATCATGTTATTTCCATAATCATTAACTGAATTACAATATTCATGTTTACCCTATTTTTGGATCTAGGTCAACTTTAATCTAATCAAATTTTTGATTAACAATTATTAAACTCTATTCCATTATTGAAATACAGTATATTCTGAAAATCAAGTTGTTTCCGCTACAATGATTAAGGTGGAATTAGTAACATATTCCTAACATTCTATTATTGATGCGTACATTATTAAATGTAATTTCTTGTTGAAGAATTTTTATAGACTTAATAAAACTTTAATTGATGTGCAATACTTGTTAAAAAATATGACATAATACAATGTAAGCTAAATAAATACAACAAGCATAATAAAAAACTATTTGTACATCAAATCATGTCCAAATCATATTAATAAAATGACGACGTTGCTTGCTATCAACCATCAGTCAGTGGATTACTCCAAATAGAAAACGTTAGACCACTTGTCAACATTATAAGAAGCTCTTAATATCAATTTGAACAAACTGTTCATGCTACCAGTTAGTTTAAATGACTAGTTTCATTCTGATAATTTATTAGATACCAATGAAGATTGGTTTAGACCGAGCAATCGCTTGTAAATTCATTTAGAATGTAGGGGATATATTTACATAATGGAAACAAAATGAACTAATAGGAAAATAGTCTTTAACTTTATTAAGAATTGAGGCCACCTCAATTAGAGGATTTGATAGACAATAGAACTGTTAGTTTACAAAACAGAAATAAAATATTGTATCTGTGGGAAACTTCATCTAGATTTGAGCGAAAAGTTCCACAGCAGTTAGGCACTGAGTTAATATAAAAGGGAATTATGTTTGTATCGTAAGCGGTTTTCTGGTAACTGGTTCAAAGTTCTACGAGTCAAGTCTTGGATTCCCTACATTGGTTGGCTAGATATCAAACTTATAAAGCAAAAACGACTGATATCTGGTTGATAAAGCAACTTGGTTCATCTACGAACTGAGTTGGCTGTATTCATAATCTGGGAATTAAAACATTTAGAACAAGCAGATGTAAACTGTATCTGTCTTTTGGATTTAATTGTTATCGGAACTGAATGCTCATGGTGCGAAATGTTACTTATCTATTAACTTGAGTTCTAAAACGAAGGACAACTGGTATTTTATGTACTAATATCACAGAGATTTTCTCATCAATCTAAGAATTGTTTTTGATTTTGACTGTTGGCTCTATAAGTATTTCATTATCATTGTTAACCAGTCAATATGTGACGATTCTTAAAAGGAATTATAATACATGACCAAACAACACATGCCACCTGAGCCCGTAGTGTTTCAAGACATGCCACGTTCAACTATGTACAAGCTATGGTTAATGTGTAGATGATTGATTTAATTATACTGACCACCCACGCGTTTATTTTGGGGTCAATCTCTCTACCTGTAAATATATTGTAATCTCTTTCTTAAATAATTTAGAATACAGTTTCTTATGTAATTTTGTTTTCTTTATATGTCTAATTTGTCTGATCAAATATATAAGAGCATGAACAGTTACTGAACCGAACCAGATTGATGGGGATGTGAAATCCTCATATATTAAATTTATTAAAAAAAAACAATTTTTAGAACTCATAGACTGATTTAAAGTTAGCTTGGTTGATTGACTTCTGATATGTGGATCAATTTATTCCGAATGAAGTTCATTGTTTTATTTTCAATACATCTTCATTGTATTAGTTAACGAACTGTGATTTGTATTGTTATAATTATTCCGTTCATAAATTATAATCATTTCAATCGATTCATAATTGATTAACTTTGCTTTCCTTTTTAGAAATATGTTTATGATTCTCTCCAAGTCGTGTTCTGACCGTTCGAGTTAAGTAAAGTCTTCAACCACACTAGACCATAGAACAAGACATAGTACATATTATAACAGTACTTTAGTAAAGGGGACTAGAATGTACCAGACGGCGCTTGCTATTTGCGGCATATAACGCCTTAGAAAGTTGGTTTCATTAATAGCAATCTTGTTACTTCAAATGTGATCAATAAGCTAAAATTACTTAAAAACGGTCTATTGGATTTCGGATGCCTCTTTGTTATACCCTGATGAGAAATCTAGTCTAGTTTCCGTAGCAATAACTTTTCTGTTAATCAGTTTTACTTGGCTATAATATGTGGACAAATACTTATTGATGTAATTTTATGGTTTCCGTGACTATTTTTACCGATTTGATCAAACATTTCCCCCAGTGATTTGATGAGTAATTTGTTGACAATTTTCTTAATTATGCATTTAGTGATACTCATAGCTTACGCTGAAATGTGTTGCCGTTGAAATGGTTAAAAGTGTTAGTAAAGTCGTTGTGACACTGAATACGGTTGAAATGCAGTTTCTATTTCATTTGTAGTAACAACCCACATATTCCTTAAGAAACCGTGTAAAATACATTTTTATGGTACAAGATATACAACAAATAGGGTGTATAACAGTCAGAATGAAATTAGCTCTACGAAGTTGCTTTGGACAATCTGACTACCAAAACGTAAGAACATAAAAATTCATCATATTATGGTATCCTCGAAAGTAACTAACTAGTCATTTTTTCAGTAATAAGTCTGTACTTTGTGGAACCTAACAGTTATTACATTGTCTTATGCAAATCAAGTCAAACATCATCCAAAGAATCTGACTAAGCTATTATTGTCTTTACGAGGAATTCCAGTGAGATTTTAAACCTTATGTACATGAACTTAAGTACTGGTTAATTCGAATAAATTCACGAATATACCAGGATTTCAAAGATGTTGGTCCTACTGAAGCAAAACTTCTGCAATAAGGTATGTGAAAGTATTGAGAAGAAACTCATATTATTGCACGTTACCTAAGTCGACAGGGGATAACTGAAGTTGCTAATGGTTTTTTAAAGTATGCTAGCAGACATTTGATAAATGCATGTCGCTTTAATCTTCTAAACGTTATTTCACCGATCTTTGGTTTGATAGTAGCTGTCTCATATTCATCGGATGTTTACTGTTATCAATGTGTGAAAATTGTTGTATCTAACCTAATAGTCTCTGATTTATAAAATTAGGGTTACTCGTTTTCAGTGGAACTTTAAGGGCTATTTGAAATTTAAAGATAGCTGTATTTACTCCACGTTCTAAAATGAACAATTTTACGTGAAAAATTTGGTCGTTACTAGGTAGCCTACATACTTGTTTCGCTTTTTTAATTGTTAAAAAGACCAGACACTAAAGGTCACAACAATACAATATATATAAATCGTGGTCGCTTGACCTAATCCCTGAAATGAACTAAGTGTTTAAACATCAAATCAATTTAATACTTTTAATGACTCGTTCAGGAGATATGAAATAACTGTATCAAATGGTTACTTCTATGTGTAGCAAATACTATGTTGATATACTAAAAACCTCTGAAAGTCAAAGAGAATGAACACGTAGATTGCTTTTTATACAGATAGTTTATTGCATCAACATCTAGTTTTCCTTTGGACACAACGATTTTTATCATACTGCGATTTCAACGAAAGAGACTGCAAACAAGGAATTAATCAATTAAAAATTGTAAGCCGATTGATTCTGATCGAAGTTTAATGGTTTGGTGCTTGCCAAGAGACCTTATGATCATGGGTTCGGTCCCATATCGAGCTGTAAGTAAGCACTGAAGCTTAGATGTAAAACAAAAGAGCTCCCTTGTTCCTCCTAGTTTTAGATTGTATTTCAACTGATATTGGTTCAAGATGAAAACTGATTTCCCACCGAGCAGTATCAACAAACTTCTACCTTAATCATAAAATTATCGGCACTATTATAACCGTCATAATATGGTCGTTTATCTAACTTCTAAACACAACAACTTCAGACTATTTTAAAATAGTCAATCACTCTAAAACTTCTGACCAACCTTTTATCAAACTCGAAAGTAAAGCTTTATAATACGGTGTATTTTGAATAACTGGAAAATTTGAAGACTAAACTCAAAGTTTGTAACAGCATACAATTCAAATCAGGCGGAAAAATAATTATTTACGAACTGATGGTTAAACTAAGAGTACATCCTTCACGGATTACGCTGGACGTTTAAATCCACGTAAAATAATGCTGATACACCATTGTTGAACCCTTACATAATTATCATCCAAGGAAACAGATTGAATTATTTTGAATAAATAGATTTTCCACTTGCGTTCGACACGCAACAATCATCAGTAATCAATATCAACCATATCAACAAAGATTACTCTATATAAATCTTTGCAATAAAAGCTAAGTGACATGTATTTTATGTTTATTTAGGCGTTAAAAATAAGTTCCTTGCATGTTTTTTATCACTCATATAACGTGTTAAGTTGTACATCAATAATCCTTCAGTGTTAAAACTAACCAGTTTTCGTTGGGGGAAACATTATAATGACTCGTTTGTTCAATGAAAAAATTTACTATATCAGTTGAATGTTAAAACTTTTTATGGTAACAAAACGTAACTTAAAATGTTTTGGTTGTTAGATTATTTGAAATCAGCTATGTAACGATTTGATTGTTTAACTAGTTACCTACTCTCAGAACTCAAACAAATTAACTTAGACATTATGTTGACTTATTTGATCGAACATACATTCAATCGAATAGTTGATATACAAGAATAAAAAATATCATGAATCACACTGAATGTTAGTGTTTATTTAATATATGAGTTTACCTGAGTACCAGTTAGCTTCGCTGAGACTTGCCTCCACTAAAAGAAGTAGATATTTGATCATTTTAATTATGGAGTCACAGAAAATTTTATTAAAATTTAAATGCTATATGAACTAGATTCGTTCAGTTTAGGTACATAAAATATGATAGAATTTTAAGAAAATAGCTGCCATCAATCTAACGTTCGGCTGTAATATTAGTTGAAATTATAAAAGTCAACTTATACGAGTATCGTTATAACTACTACATGGGTTAGTTGGAAAACGTAATGAAAATAAATTGAGTAATTTCAATAGTTGAGATCATGAAGCTAGACCACTGTGGAAAACCTGGAAGCATTGAACGGCCGTTTCGTGGATTAGTTGAAGCTAAGCATTAACACCACTGGATGCCGGCTCAGTGGTCTAGTAGTTAAGCGCTCGACATTGATAGGTCCTGGGTTCGAATCCTGAAGGGCGGGGTCGTGGGTGCGCACTGCTAAGGAGTCCCAAAATAGGACGAAAAGGCCGTCCAGTGCTTCCAGATTTTCCATGGTGGTCTAGCTTCAATTGACTCATGATCTCAACTATTGTAGTTAATACAATCTCCACAAAACTTCTGATACTAATAAATTTAGTATTTACTTACATAAT